CCCCACCACCGCCACCACCACCACCACCACCACCACCGCCACCACCACCGTCACCGCCGCCGCCATCACCACCGCCACCGCCACCGCCGCCACCACCGCCTTACCTGACACAAGCTTTCAACGGGCGCCTCTCGCCGCTAACGCGTGATATATAATATACGTTTACATTACGAACTCGTGAAACTTAAAAGCAGAAGCGCTCTTATATGCACTAAAGAGGTTGGCCCCAGCCAGAATATCTGCCGACGCGAGGAGCGGACTAGAGACAACCTCGTCACGGACATCAAACGCAGTTACGACGCACGACTGCCATTACGGGGTGGCTCTAACACAACACCGTCCAACCGTTAAAGAAATCGAGCGAAGAAAAAATCGCTCGAGTTGCTCGGTTTCACGTTCGGCCGAGCTGTCTATATGTATAGGCTCGTAACTTGTATCGTATATTTGCGGTGGCCGTAAAAAGTGACCGTTTCTTTTCATGTCGAGTTGGCAATTTGCTTGGCGCGCCACGCGACCTGTAACTATAGCCGCCGTGAAGATCAAAGCGCAAATAGTGAACGCGGCAGAGTAATAAGCGGTAAAGCATAATAATGCGGCGCGGATTTCGTTACACGGGAGAGATGTGTGGCTGTAACGAGACATCGTATGCTATTTGGTTGAAAGATTTGGAAGCAAGATTTACAGCGTTTACGGTTTTTTAAATTTCGGGCAGTTGGAAAATACGAACGCACGTACGCGCGCATGCACACACACACACACACACACACACACACACACACACACACACACACACACACACACACACACACACACACACACCAAATTACCAAATACACTTATGATAGCACAATATTATACATTATTTCTGAACGTATTTGTGCAGGCGTGCACGCGGGTGTACGTGTGTGTGGAAGTGGCGTGTAAGTGCGTGCGTGCGTGAGTGGCGTACACTTGCGTGCGTGTGTGTGTGCGTGCGTGCGTGCGTGTGTGTGTGTGCGTGTTTGTGTTCGAACGTGTGTGTGCGTTTGAACGTTTGTCTGTGTGCGTGCGTGTGTGCGTGCTTGCATGCGCGTGTGCCGGTGTGCATGAGAGCGGCAGTGGTGAGTTTTATTTATTTATGCTAGTATTGTCTATACTAGATTCATCACGCTGGATTTACCAACTACGTAAAATAGTCAGAAATGTTTCAACGTATTTTTTTGTTCGTACAGCACCTGTGAAGTTATTATATTATCGCTTGCTATTTGCACTTTTTAATAAACCTAATAACATTCACGATGCAAAACTGTGTATAACCCCGCATGGTATCGTAATAAACATCCTATAGTAAAAAGCCGGCCTATGTAAGTTGACAAGATCTGCAAACGCGTCCTGTAAATATTTTCCTGCTAGTACGCTAATGCAACCCACGCTATAATCAATTTCATAGTGTAATATGTTGATACAAACATGGTAGGTAGGTAATATAAGCGTGAATTCGTGAAATTCAATTCATTGAGAAACTGATTTCAGTGTTAAATATCATCACATATGTGTGCTTGATGTTGCATGGTTAGGTATATATATATAATCTTTAATTGATAATAATTAAGATGATGAGAATGGTATTAGATATACTCAAATGAATGATAGATGCCCGCATAGTGGTCTTCTATGAGTAAAATAGTTTGATCTAAAGTATGTTACCTGTTATATAACTTATACTGTTGGGGTGTGACGTTTATTCCTGTTACGACATTCTGTAATTTTATTATTGCTTGTAAACTCGACATTAATTACCGTTGGTGTTTGTTCACAAACGTAAATTATTACCTATGTTGTATTTCTAAACGTGTGCATTTTGAATTACAACGGGTTTCCAAGTTCAGCTATAATACAGAAGATTATTGAAGGTATTCGCGAACTTTGAACAGGTGTAATAAATGCTACATTACTCTTATATTATCGTATATATATATATATATATATCGTATATCCCCTAACTGATGGGTAAACTGTAACGATAGTCAACCGTGTACGCGAGCGCTGTCGTCCGTTGGATTATATTGTATAAACGATAAGTCTGTTATATTATATATTTGATTTAATTAGATGTCACCGCTGCATATAGCGAACGTCTACTATTCATGCTCGTGGCTGACAGCGCTTCTCCTCGTGGATACAAAAGGGAGGACGTCGTGTAGAGAAATCCAGGCGCTTGTCGAAAAAAACATTCACGGCACAGATGCAATGTAATACATATCATGTATTATATTCTATATGTATAGGCATTAGGCAGACGGGGTGTTTTGCCACAGGCTGCTGTATCCCGGGGCGAATTTGATGGACAAGAGATAACAGATTATATCTGTTGCTTCTGAAGAACGTTGGCAATTGTGTTCATTGCTCAGCGGTTAAAATATTGTAAATGTGTGATTAGGTGTACCGTTAATTTTAATGCGTGGTTTATTTAAGTTTACACGTGAGCTGTTGTGTAGTAGTAGGTCGTTTTGAACAAACATTTTGAAACGCCAATGAAAAAGCAAAACCCACTTCGAAATATATATTATTGAAATTGATTTTAAATTTGCACATAGATGGTGACAAAGCATTTCATTACAATAACTATCGGCATACTCCGGAACGCATTTGAAGCAGAATCACGCGGAATAGCGAATCACGCGGAATCAAGCAGAATCAGTCTATAACGAAAATCATGATATTGCCGATTTGCCCTCTCTGAAACACGTCCTATCGCAAGAGGCAAGTCTGTGCTAAGTTACGGTCACCACCGTATGTGCTAAAATACGACATTGAGTACCACCCGACGCTCTGGCTGCCTAGCATTATTATCGTGCTCATTGCATTATTATGGTCTCGTGGTCGAACTAATTTCACTTCCATCTGATTCCAACGTATGTCCAAAACGTAAATATGCTTGTATTTAGTCGTTTATATCAAAATAAAGATGAAATGGCTAGAAATATTGTTGGAATGCTATTTCCAAAGTTATTATCGTTGGTAATTATTGTTGGCACGGTCTATTCTCTTATGTTCTAATAACGACACGTGGAGACGCCGGGGAGACGGCATTGGTTTCCTCCGCTCTCTAAGAGTGGCCCTGAATCACCGCATCAAAAGAAAGCTCTCACAAGAACAGAACTTTATGTGCAAGGTAACCCACATATGGGATATTTCTTCAGCTAGGTTTTATTGCCATACCGAGACATGGCACGTCACGTCACTTTACAAATCGCCATGCGTTGCTGGCCGCCGATGCGTCACTGACACACTCACCGTTAGTATTATCCTGATGAACATGCTGTTAAACAAGAATTACATACACGTCCATCATTGATCTCCTATAAACCCATGTACTTTATGAAAATGTGGAACAGGATATTTTTACCTCAGAAATGTTTTATTACAACACGACAAATCCTATAAAGCGGCACGTTCAGCAGTATTGATCATAAAATTTATCTGACCCACACCCATAGCAACACGCACGCATACCATACCGCTATTTGTCCTCAGACTTTATAACTGTGCCTGCCCCGGTGAACACAATCCCACGTATTTACAACACCCCCCAATCAACTTGTTTGTCACTGCAGGCTTAGTGACTTCGGTGCAGTATCAGTCTACAACAGGCCGTGCGAATCAGTTTTGATGTACCGCCTGGAACATTCACTCGTTCCCTGCTATAGTAAGCATTGAACGTTTATGCTGCTCAGTATGATACTTTCACTTCTGTCAAAAGCTCTATTTGATATCAGCACTTATTTACTACTACACCACGTAGCTGGTGCACTGTAGAAGTACGTTGGTGCAGCTATGCCACCACAGTTACCAAACAGGATTCAGCATATTATTCTTGAATAAATCACTCACTACTCGTGAACGTGAGTAAGATCGGGACGTCATACCACGGCTACCCTGTCATGACTGCTGTTTCGAGTGCTGCTTCTGGTCCCTATGCGCCTGAATCCATTCATTGATCTGTTGCTTAAGCTGCTCATTGGGAACGACCATCTCCATAGATAAAGGCTGCCGATTAAATGGATCCGACTGATCGCTGTGCGAAATCAACAAAAACAATATCGATTACACTGCCGATCAGATTAGCACTGATAATTATCATCACAACAAATGCTTAGATAAAATAACTGGACGTTTCCAACGATGTCCTATTCCAGTGCAGCAAAGAGCAGAACGTGAGAATCACACGCACGTTTTAGAGATCTGTCTACTCCAGCAAATGATTATGCACTCCATCGGCATTATGCACCCACCCCATCAGCACCCCCATAGACTCCTACACTATCTTTGGTATGATAACAGAACAGCAAGGGCCAAGTTTGCGGCAGCTGGTGGGGGTCCTTACCTGAGGATGTGACGAGCGATGGTGGATCTGTCCATGGTGTGGCCGGAAGTTGGCAGCAAGACAGGATCTCGCATGATGGTGCCGAGAATCGGGTCTAGGAACTCCTCGGGGGCCTCTTCCAGCAGCTCGTCCTCTGCCTGCTGCTTACTGGCCACCTCCTGAAGCAGCACGACGAACAGCAAGCGATTACATTACCGACCAGGGCAAGCATCGTTGTCTGCATGGTCACCTTGTGGTCATCTTTCTCGTGTGTACTGACACATGGGTGGGTGGGAAGTACAGACAAACGCCACCTTGGGGCATAGCATACACAATTGGCAATGTACAAACCACAGGCACTTGAAACGTTTCAATAAAATATAATGCTAAATAAATACGAAATCTAATACTAGTACTACAAAATTCTTAATGTTTCTATACTCTCTTTCACCTATTATTGCCGACAGTTTCCTGTCAATTCCGTGTAAATGCTCTATGCACACACACTAATGCCGCCAATGCTCACTGTGCACAGTGACTGTTAATATATATTAGTGTAAGCGTGCAACAGTCGCGCCGCGAGAGCAGTGGCATCCGGCAGCGTACGTTGGACGTAGGATATGGACGGAATTTACAGGAAACTGTTGGCAATAATAGGTGAAACAGAGTAGGCCTATAGACTATAGAAACATTCGTATTTAGTTAGCATTACATTTTATTGAAACGCTTCAAGTGCCTGTGGTACAAACGAACAACTTTCACAAACCGACTGGTTTGTAAGTGTCTGCTTCAAGGTAGCTGCTCTTGTTTAAAAAAATTCCTAAAAATTACCACATTTACAAGAAATGTAGTTTAGTTAGACATGACAGTGCAACCGATTGTTCTAAAAGTTCAATAGCAAATGCCTAGAAATGTCATGATAATGAAATAAACCAATCAACCAAGTTGTTAATACATAGATGAACGCTCACACACAAATAAATATGGAGCTTTAGCAACAACTTAATATGGATACTCACTAACAAACAAAAACAGAGGCTCTGCAATAAAAAAATCTTTACTTTGTATTGCTTTAACTGTAGCTAAAGCCTTTAGCTACAATTAAAGCAATACAACACTCTAGAATGTTAGGGTATATTATAATAGTAAGTGCTTAAATAATAGTATATACCTATAAATTTCTATAATCATGCATTCAGTTTTGTCATAAAACCACAGTGAGTTTCGAAATCTTTGGTTTTGGCTGCTGACAGGACACCCCGCGATTGTGCTGCCATCCTGTCAAAGTTGCCATTTATTTTGCACATTACAGACTGAGGGCTAATGACAAAACTGCAATTATATTTATACCTAACTGCTATTCAACTGAACGATATTTATGTTACGACAAATTCGTCAATATTATAACTGAATCTAAAAGTTGTTTATAAGATATTGCAATCCTCCTCTTATTTTAACAAGTGCCGCGGAGCGACAGCGCTCATCTAACGTCTACTGCGGTGACTCTGTGGTGGAGTGGTGGGATTCTAGTAAACCCTGTTAGTCCCAAATGTGTTCACATACACGCCGAAACAGTGGAATGCATTCAGGGATTGGTGTCTTCAGGTACTCTTCTCTTAAGGAATTTCGCTTTGGGATCTGTGATGTATGTTAAAGTTTGGCTCTACTTGTAGATGTTGCTGTCGTGTGGTTACGTTGTTTTATTTAGAGTGTGTGTTCTTGCTCGAGATTGTTATATATATATGATAGTTCTCTGCCTCGTTTACTAGTTATGCTGAACGAACTAAATTCAGAGAGTCAGAATATGGGTGATTGCACTGTCGATGGCCATTTTACCCTAGCGCAAGCCTATGCAGCTGCATATAGAGAGTCTGCCTACCTTAACCATTTTAACTGGACTAGGGGTGGTGCGGCCGGGCAAAAATTCTAACATCCGTACCTAGCCCCACCCACATGCACTGGCAGTGCATACGTTCATCGTTAACATACATGACAACAGCATAGCTCATGTAGGTGCGAAATTATACCGATTTAAAGGAGGCATAAACCTGCTGCAATTGGGTCGGTGGAATACTTTATTGGCATTTTGAAATTTCACGTGGACAGTTGGTAGCCTTCTATTACAGTGTCGGCAGTGTCATGCTATTATTGATTTCTACTTAGCTGCAACGCAGGCGAGTCAAGATCTTTCAACAATATGTAAACAAATCCAGTTTAACCCTCCTCTGAGGTCAAAAGTTAGTCCGAGGCAGCTTACCTCTTTCCATAGTTCAGCGAGAAGGTTACAGCTTTCATGTTCTGCTTCAATAAAGCCATATAAAATCTGAGGTCACCGCTGAAACATTAAAAAGTGTTTTCAAGTGTGTCGCCGTCAGAACCATGTCCTGACTAGATAATGTCTAAAATCTGCCGGCTGGTTGCCCATTGAACCGTTTGAACTCTGTGACCATTCCAATTTCGGCAACAGTGACTGGCTTTGTTCTACCATGACTATACTACCGTTTGGACTATACGAGCCTGAGAGTGCGCCTGGCCGTTTATGAAATTTGATGCCGCAATTTCTGCATTTCCTCGTCCCATCACTTAACTAAGGAGTGGAATGCTCCCTCACTTCTTTTACACTCTCTTTGACCTTGACTCTTTGACCCCCGCTTCTTCGACAGTCGCATATTTCGTTTTGACAAATCCCGCCCTCGATTGGCGAATATCGTGACTGCGTATTACGTTACGTCGTGTCAAGATTTTGTGCTTCCATCTGTTGACGGGATCGTACGTTGGCGACGGACGATCCATTGCTATTCTTCAGCTGCATCTGACTATTCGTTCTAGTATAGCTAATCAATAAGAAACATGCTCCCTCATCCTGGTGGCCTGCACCGAAAATTGTGATGCGCGAAACTTCTTGAAAGGCAGAAGGATATAGTATGCGCCACCGGTGTCGTTGTATACAACGATATCAGGCATCTATTTAAAACAATAAAAAAATGTTCCTAATAAAATATTGACACCAGTCGGAATTTTTTATGTAGCGTATCTTAGAACTTATTTTAACTGAAAATATGCAATGAACCTGGGGTCATTTAACCTTTTAAATGCGTCCACCTGGTAAGCTGCGAGGCTGAAATTCTCGGTCGCGTACATCGCCGGCTGGCCGGATCTGGATGGAGCACGGTGGTGGCGGTGCGAGTGCTCCTGAAGCAGCGAGCGCCGAGTACGAGCGGGTTGTCGTTCGTCGAGACGAGTGTTTCCGCTTCGTCAAGGTAAGCTGCGCGCTCGGTCGCTTCGAGGGTGCACCCCGTGAGATCTTGGGCGAATGTGAGTCGACTGAGCGCCTGCGGGCTGTGACTCAACCTGCTTGAGTTCTTTCAGCCTTCAGGTTCCTGCTGTCTTGCTGGTTACCCGACCGCTTGGTGCGGTTCGGGAGAGAAGAAGACAGTTGAGACGCGGCATGGGATGGTAGACGCCTTGACTGTTGGAGAGGGCGCGGCGGTGAGGGTGTAGAGGTTGAGGAGCGTTAGAAGCGCGCTAGACGGGTTAGAGGCGCGGTACGTTTAGAGGAAGGCCGGCGAGCGTTAACGGCGCGGACGTAAGGCGCGACGTTGAGAAGCTGCGGACGACGCTATGGGAGGGCCGGTTTACCGTTAGACCTGGCGGACGTTTAGAGGCGGGTGTCGGACGTGAGAAGGCGCCGCATTTTAGAGTGGCGGTACGCTTCAATGGCGCGGCGGACGGGGTGTTAGAAGGCGCGGGCGCGAGGCGTGGTTTACGGAGTGCGCGGGAGTCGTGAGAGTCGCGAGAGCGGTTAGAGGTTCGCGGGACGGTGAGAGGCGCGGGTTTGTGGGCGGTGTGGGAGCGGGGTGGAGATGCTGCGGAGCGTTAGAGGCGCTGGACGTTTGAGGAGGGCGGGCGGACAGTTAGAGGCGCGCGACTCCATCACGTCGCGGCTGACGTTTAGACTGCGGTGACGGTTTAGCCTAGGCGTCGGACGTGTAGAGGGTGGGCGCCGGGCCGGTGGTACGCGTGAGCGGTCCGCGGACGCTTAGGACGACGCGGTGTTACTTATAGGGTGCGGCTTACGTTTAGAATGGTCGTCTGACGTTTAGTACCCGCGCGCGCCAACGCTAGGACGTGTCGGGCTTACGTTAGCATCAGCGGCCGACGTTAGAGACGGCGCGACTCTGTAGACTGGTCGCCGATGGCGGGACGTGTACAGTACGGCGACGCGTTAGAGGCGGCGTGGGGTACGGTGTTAGATGGCGCGACTGCTTTGATGGAAAGGAGACGCGCGGGGGACGTTAGAGTGGTCGCGGACGTTGACTGCGCGGGACGTTAGATGTCCGGCCGGGGACTTCAGAGAGCCGCGGTGGGTGTTAACGTTAGAGCGCGGATCGTTAGCGCGCATGGCGTTAGACGCGCATGGTGACGGTTAAGAGGCGTGCGTTAGCGTTGAGGCGCGTGACGTTAGACTCTGCGGTGGACTGCTAGACTGCGCGGACGTGTGAGGCACGCGGAACGTTAGACATCGGGCGGGGGTGGGTGGTGGGGTGGTGGGGGCGACCGTGTGTGACGGATGGGGCGCGGGGGGACGTTTATGAGGGCCGCGGACGTAGGATCGCCGCGTGACTGGTTGTAGACGGCGGCGGGTACGTTAGACTCGCGGGGGGGTTGACGTGTAGAGTGGCGCTTGGTGGTACGTTTAGAGTGGCACGCGCCGGTGGACGCTAGAGTGGCGGCGGGGACGCTTTAGACGCTCGTGGACTTTAGAGCGCGCCTGACCTTAGAAGCGGCTGATCTGCGCCTCGGTTAGATCGGCGTACGTTAGATGTTGCCGGTGACTGTTTAAATGCGCCGGGGTTGGACCGTTAGAGGCGGCGGGTGTCGGTACGGTTAGAGGCGGCGTACGTGGAGACGGCGCGACACGTTAGAGGCCACCTTGCGACGTCGTGAGATGCGGCGCGGATGCGTGGTTAGAGGCCGTCGGCCAGACGTTAGAGGGTCGCGTCTGGGGTGGGGACGTTAGAGGCGCGCGGTACTTTAAGCGGCGAATTAGACGACGCGGGAGTTTAGGAGTGCGCGATAGCCGACGCAGACGGCTTAGACGTGCGGTACGTTAGAGCGCGGGACGCTAGAGCCGGGGACGTTAGATTTGCGCGCGACGTGAGAGTGCGCGTGACGTTCAGGCCGCGCGGACGTTAGAGGGGCTCGGGTACGTTATTACGCGCGGTTACGTGGATGAAGGCGTCGGCACTCGTGAGAGGCGCGACGTTGATGTCGCGCGACGTTAGACGCGCGGCCTGAGAAGGCCGCGTGACGTTAGACGGCGCGACGTTAAGGAAAGCGCGGACGTGAGAGTGCGTTGCGGACCGTGAGAGGCCGGGCGTTATGAGCGCTGGGAGTGAGAGGCCGCGGACGTGCCGAGTCTCGGACGTTAGAGCGCGGACGGTGAGAGCCGTCGAGTTAGAGG